GGGGGGGGGGGGGTCCATCTTTTGGGCTTTTTTTAGGGGAAACTACCATATAAATATGCTACTCAGCATGAGCCTGGGTACAGGGCCTGAATTAGTACAGTGGAAAATCCAACGGAAAATCTCATGGCACATGAACCGGGAAGATTGTTATGTATTCGGGCTTCTGTAGAGGTTATCATCGTTCAAATACAGTAAATACGCCCCTGGCTCCAAGCCTAATTATTCCATAGGAGTTGCGTTTGCAATGTGGTTGATTTATCCGGAGAAAGGCAATTTAGCAACCTTTCCACCGACACAAACCCAAGTGCTCAACCATGAGATGATTGTTGTTTTGTATAGTACGCATTGCGGGAGGGTTCTGAAAAAATAGAGACTCCGAGATTTGCACTCCTCCGCCCCAAAGGTTATCCGTTAATTACTCGTTCTTGCGAAGCCTAAACTTTGGATTCTAAGCCCTACACCTCACACTCTTTTTGGACCATGCTGCAACAGTATTTCTGGGGACACGAGCCTTGGAGAAAAGATCAGAAAACTTAAGCTCCAAACTCAAACCCTAAAACACGAAACCTTCTGACCTTCATTAACAGGCCCGAAAATATGAAGCCCAAACTGCCAAGCCCAAGCTGGGCACGAGCATCTATAGTCCATAGTAGGTTCCATGTTTTTCCCTTCTCCCTATATAACCCCAATATACAACAGTAGTTTCCATTGTCTTTTCCATTATCCTTACTGTTGATGGATGAAATCTTGCACCACCTAGGGGCCCTAAACTACTGTAATTCCTAGGACTTTAGGGACTTAAGGTGGTGCAAGATTTCCTCCATCAACAGTATGTAGACCCAATAGACTCTAAATAAACTCCAAACCCTGGGCAAGAGCGTTTGGTGCTGCAAGGAGACAAAAGAATCAACAGTCGGCCGTGGCATGCGAGCATGGAGCGACGATGCAGCTTGCCTCATCCGGCTTCAGTAGGTTTAAGGGTTTAGGGTTCAGGGTAACTCTGGATATTTTTGTTGGGGGGGGGGTTCCGTGCTACATCGTCATTAGCATATATCTCCCAAAGGTAGGACATCCAAAGGTGAAACCTTGTTATTCTTGAGGGTAAAGGCCCCAAGGTCCACACTCCATTCTGGAAGTTAGGGCAGTTAGGGTTGAATTTCAGGGCTTGCGTGCGGGTGTTGGCCTGGCTTTGTGCTTAATGGTTTAGGCATCTCTCGCTTTAGGGCTTGGGCTTCAGCGATACTAAACCCTGCACCCTAAACCCTAAACCACCCTAAACCCTAAGCCCTGGACCCTAAACCGTTATGCTTGGACAGGCATTATCGGACCCTAAAGTGAGTGGTGCCATTGCAGAAATTGCTTCCAGCAGCCCATTTCTCTACGGGCTACTACCCCGATTTAAAGGTTTAGGGTTTAGGGGCCTAGGGTTTAAAGTTTAGGGTTTAGAGGGGCCCCAAACCCTTAGCCGCTCCGATCTCATGAGCCATTTGAGTCTCCATCATTGGGGTAATATCTCATGTCCCTAAATCCTACATCATCAACCTGTCGCACTAGATAACCCTGTCGAACCAACAGGTGCATCCCTACCATGCCCCAGGTCTCAGAAACTCCTATTTCCGATGGGTTTAGGCTGCAGGACGCCTCCACTCCACCGGTATATTGCCAGAAGGGGCTATTTGGGGGATTGTCAAAATTAT